TTCCTGTGGTGCACTACATTATGCACAATTACTGCAAATCAACACAATCTTAATTATTAATCTTTTGTATTTGCATAGTACTTTTCATCCAAAAACACTCTGAAAGCTGTGTACAAAGAATACCAAAGAAACGCTGCAAGCTCTGGAATCCTGGAGCAACACTCCCCTGTCCCAGGGAGCATTCAGTAAGTGGGGATAAAAGTCCTTGGCCCCTCACACCAAGACAAACCCTGCCACAATTCAGAAGTACCACAGGACTTCTGAAATTCTTACAAACACAGAAAGGAGCTCTGCTTTGATGTAAAAGAGCTGAAACTTTTGCATTTTTCTTATTTGGAAGAAATCAATCTTGAGATATCTTACAAGCATTTCAGTACAAAACACTAGACATCACAGTTCATGCATCAGTGCTGCTGAAGAACCCACAAACTTCTGAATCGACCAAATCAATCACACACATTTCCCAGTCTTTACCTTGTCACTTCTATGCTGCCCATTTATGCTATGAACACTTTTATTTTCCCTCTTCTTGCTTATCTGTGCTGCTCAGCCATCTTCTGCTCATTCAAATCCTTCCTCACAGAGGCTTGAGCAACACAACTCAAGGAGGAAGTTAATTTTAAAAACAATAGTTAAAATATATATGGCTCACTATCTAATTATGCATGAGATCTCTCTCATACAGATAATAAACTCTGTAGAACAAGTATTGTTCCTTTTTTTTCACTCTTATATGCCAAGTAGTTTGTCATCTTCTAATAAATTTATTGCTAGGCTTACGTAACAGCTAAAATACACCTCTCTACTTGGTATTCATAAAGCAACGCATGTTGGTCAATTAAATCACAACAACATTATGTGGCCTCTCCATTGTCACAGGTTCTTTAAAAGATTGTTGCAGATGCCCCAAGAATAGAACAGTTCTGGTTTGAATACAGATAAATATCAGAGTCAGAAAACAGGTCCTGCTCACGCAGATGCTGGGATGTGCCACACCACATCCATGCACCGAGGTGTCACTGAAGCAGTGTTACATGCTGCTGTTATTTACCTCCTTCCAGGGGGTCAGCAGAAAAACTTCTGCCCAGACCAACTCCCACTTTCACACCATAGCCATGACATTGCTGTATAATCAGACAATAGCAAAAATAAATAAACAAACATTGTCAGTGCTGTCTCCTCACTCCTGTTTACATTTTAATGAACTACTCTAGTAATAACTTCCAGTTTCCCCATTTCCAGAAAGCCAGCACTCCATAAATATCGAGTTGTACTATTATCTGCTGACGTACCAGTTTTCTATAAACAGAGAAAATCCAGACTTATCACTGGGCCTAGCTGTTGAAAAAGGTTAGTATAGCTAAATAACAAAACAGGAATGTTGTTTACTTGTTAATGTTCTACTAATGAAAAAAAGCTGTTATAGCTTTGATTAATCTAGACCATACTGGACAATTCTGGCATAACTTTCCTCGAGGAGTGACTATTGATTTCCTTTTCATTCTACACTTTGATACAACATATCTGGAATCTAGCCCAGGTTTCATAACTGCTACTATCTCCACATTAACAGCCTGTGCAAGATTAGAAATAGCTTTTGAAGACAGATGCAAGGGTGAGGCAATCCAAGAATTTTCTCCATTTCCACAGGTTGAGCTTTTACATCTGTCTGTGTAACAGCTTTTAAGGAATTAAAGGTGTTTGTAGGCATGATCAAATTCATCAATTGCAACTAATTAATTCTGCCATTGTTTAATCTTTTAGCACAGCATTGTTTTTTCTCTTTCTTTCTCTGTCTGTATTTATAATACCTGGTGTAGACACAGTAATTACCAGATACTATGGGATGGTGACTGCGTTATCAGCATGAGCTTGGGAGAGCCACACAGTCTCATAAAATGGTGAAGTCAAGGGAGTAATACCAACAGTCTCAAGTAAGTGCCAGTAAAATCTTTGTACTACTCCCCTCCATCTCATATCTCCTATTCGGTCTAATGATACTCTGTATTTAAGTCTCTATTCTGTACCAACTCGCTCCTTCTGTTGATTTATACACACACAAGGCACGGGCATTGCATGTCCGAAATGCATAGGTTAGGTAAGCAGTTTTCACCTACAAAGAGCACCGTAATCAAAAGTCCATGGTAATTTCCAGACACAAAAAAATGTAAAGAATATCTTTAAAATACTGAATGTAGTGTGTTAATTGCCTGGCACATGTGAAACATCATCAAAATGCATTCAAGTCATTTCTAGGAACACATAGCAGAATCAGTGACATAGTATTCACGTCTCATATAAGTCTTCTTTGAGCATTGGTATATTCTATTTTTCTGTTTCACTTCCTCAACAATCACATAATAGTTATGCTAAAAAATTTGCATCTGAAAGTCATAAAACGCCCAGCCATGTAGTGCTGGGTTAATGACAAAAACACTGCAATAAATTAGGAGTTTTGTCACTGAAATAACACAGATTAGGACCTGGCCCATGGAATGGTTATGAAGCAATGACACAACACCGAAACCAAAGTCAACTGCAGTTTCAGAATGGATTGAAAAAGGCTTTTCCAGCAGTTAGGGAAACAGCAGTGCCATGTAAAAAATAATATAAATAAAATAAATAAATAAATCCAGTCATTCCTTTTTGATACATCCTTTTTGATACATCCTTTGAAACTGGTATATCTGTGCAAAGAAGGTCACAGAATAAGAGTGGCAAAAAGAAAACCTCATGGAAAGGAAATCCAGAGAGCTCAAAGAGCAGGCTTGGTTAGCAAATGCCAAGAAGAGACGAGATCATTGTTTATGAGTACAGCCACAGGAATAAGCACTAAAGAAGTAAAACCAATTTAAACTCATAAACAGTATTTGCTCATTGACAAATTAATATAAGCTGGCCTGGAATAATGTCAGCTGATAATCGAAAGAACATTTCTAATTATCAGAGCAATCTGACTTCGGAAAAGCCTTCAAATCAGAGAAGAAAAAAAAATGACTTTCGGTACATTTATAAAGAGAAGCATACCCTGTGAGGTCTGTATACAAAGGTCTCAGTGGTCTTAAAAGCTTGCCAGTCTTGGGTACACACATATGATGCGAAACAAGGGACATACTTACCAAAGGAAGAGGTCTATCTGACCCTAACTACATTTCTCAGTTAAATTAAGCTCTCTCCAGATCTCTTTTGCAGACCAAAGAGTGGATAGGAATGGTTAAGGAAGGAATAGGCAATGGAAACCCACCCTCAGTGTAGCAGAGGTTTGAGAGATGCTGGACAAGGTAAGGTGTGCCACAGCTCCCATACTTCATGGCTGGCATGGATGAAATGCCGACACAGGCACCTGGACTCCTCGGCCAGCTGCAATTCACCTTCAATAACTGGTAAGTGGCACTGCAGCCCAGTGGTTCAGAGAAGAGAAGAAAAAGAGAAAAAAAATAAAGCTGTCCAAACAACAGAAAAACAAATACTAGGTAAACAGTTTTCAGCTCTGTAAAAGGTTTCTTCTAGGACATGAGCTGTTATCAAGGGATGTTGCAACTCCCTGTTAGGAAGAGCTCTCCACCACTGAGAATGGCTGGGGAACAGAGCAACCTCTGGACACTGAAGGTCTTTAAAGACCAGTTGCAGAAGTCTCTGGCTGAAAGTTCTAGGAAGAGTTGATTTTATCTTGGAGGAGGAATAGTGACAAAACGACCTTTGCAACCTATCTATTTATTTATCATCTTGAGCAGTGGGTGCAGGTTTTCTACTTTTTCATTCAAACCACAGAAATAAGAGACAAAGGGAAGCAAGTGCCCAAATTCAGCTTCACGTGACCCTGGACAAAACCAGTAGCAGGATTTGCTCCATAGCCTGGAAAAGAGCAAGCCACGCTTTAGATTTGGTTTCTGCCAAAGCTCATTTCAGAAAAGCTATAGGCCTAATGGGAGCACAGACTGGGCTTTCCTATCTATAATCTAGTATCCTGAAAAGCCAAAAACCCATGCTGAACTGAGCTACTGAGGAGTTTTCTAGCATGGAGATCAAGGGTCATGGGAATGGGCCATATTTCAATGACTACGCTCCCTCTTCCTAGCAGTGAGATCCAATCTCATGTGCACCAAGTAGATTATTACCCCCTTGGTGTCCAGTTGCATTCACATGCAGAGTCATTTGGAAAAGTGAAAAATCTGCTTCTTATATTTAAACTAGTTATTACAGTTACAAAAGAAAAATTATTTCCCACTTTACTGTTTCATGCTGGTTTCATCACTTCTGTGGACTCTCTTAACCTCTTCTCCACAGTAGTTTAGTCCATGACTACTGCTCCAGCCTCTAATATCCAGGGCTTTTCCCATTTCAGCACTGGCACATACTCAGCAGGATACACAGACATACCACAACACTGAAAAACACTGCATTTTCTCTAAAGGAATTATCACAACCACGAATTTGAGGCCTCAGCTCTCAAAGCCCAGCATGTTTTTCAGCTTCTCCCTTTATGTGGCACTAATTATTATAACATTGTTCTAATCACTGTAAATATGATACAGAGTCTACTAGACAAGAAAATCCATGGCTCCATTTTTCATATGCAGTTAACATGGAATGCTGCTGTAATGCAACAGTAAAGAAAGCATGAGTACTCCTTGCACATATAAATGGAAGAACGTTAGTAGGGCAAAAAGATGGCATTAGCACTGTGACAAAACATAGTGCCATGAGTTTTATACCCAAGCTTCAAAGGGATTTGACAGAGTTCTGAAGAAAACAAGAAAAATAATTTGAGCTCTGGAAAATCCACCTTTTAATCAGACTCTTGAGGAGCTCAATCTATTTACAGGAGAAAAGATTAGGAAGGGATCTGTCCATGGGGAATGTCTACACAGAAATCTGAAAAGTCACAATGGATAGCACAATAAAGTGATAGTTTTCAAGAACATGGTTTGGGTAGGGGAAATAGTCTAGCTGAATTAGCACACAGATTCACCAGGATAATTTCCCCCACACACACACACCTCAAGCAGCAGTAGCTCATCTGGGCTCCACTGTTGCTGTAGCCAGGCTGCTGCCAGGACCCAGGAGGCCCAGGATGTCGGTACTACCAGCGCTCCGCTTTCGTGTGTCCACTGTAAAGACAGACAGTTGGCCTGCTCAGTGTCCCATGTTAGGGGAAAAAAATGATAGCCTTTGATTTACAGACAGATGCATAACAGGACGCAAAGGAAGCAGAAGTTTTAGATGAGCAAAATACATGTCATATATTTTTAATAGTGCAAGTTGTTAGGATTGTGGGATTGAAGCCTTTACATCAAGGTCAGATGTCTTGGTACCTTACTAGAAGATAATGGTTCCTGCAGGTATCACTTGATGAAAATCTGTGGCCTTTGCCACACAGGTCAAAGCATTCCCTTCCAGCCCAAAGAACATAATTAATAAGGGCAGTAACACAGTAGGTAAGGGATGGAACAAAGAAGGCCACAGGCAAAAGCAACAATTAATAAATAATGGTCTGCAACACTCTCATACAGAACTTCACATGTTCAATGTGATAACTAATTAATCATAGCAACAACTTTGTACTCTACGCTGCCTTTCATCCAGCACCTCAAAGTGCTTTACAAATGTTAATTAATATGTAGGCTGTACTTTAAGGGAAGATATGGCATTGGCCTCAGTCAATGTTAATTTGTTCTTCAACAGCATGGCTTGTTGACTTACCCATTGAAACACAAAATGTGCAGATCTTCCTGGCAACAAATCTGAAAATGTGTTTCTCCATTCAAATATAAGCTATTCCATTGTATTGCTGACAATATGGCATGATCCATCCCTTCACATTGTACTCCAGTATAACCTCACATAACACAGCATGGTTGAAATGTAAGAGGAGATTAACTTTTCACAAGAAAATTGGATAACTGGTATTTTAGTCTGAACATCTGGCACATTTTTAGCTAAACTGTTTCCTTCAAAAGCTATTTTTTTGTTGGTGTTTTGCATTCACATACAAATGTTTCACTAACTTTAGTTCAACAGCCGAGACAGAAAGCTAATTTATTTGCTATGGTAACCAGACCAGGGCTACCCAACATGACTGGATGTCTGCATGTTTGACAGTTATTCAAATTCCTCTATCTAGCACTGTAAATTTACACAATATTTTGTATACATTCAATCAGTGTCTGGTCATGCAATCAATCTATCTCTTAGCTTCAAAGGGAACACGTGCATGAATGAGATGCAGGACTTATCCACCATTCCCATTAAAAAAAATCATTATGGATTGTGCTTTAAGTTCTTTGAGTGGTCACATTGTGCTCACATCCCTGATTGCAGAGTTTCTGAAACAAAACTTTTGGGGGCCCAAATGATCAGAGCTTGGAAAGGTCAGCTATAATTCCCCTCTGTTACACAGGATAAGTACAAGATGGTTAAGAGTTGGAAAGCTATTACAAACCCTCACAGCTTCTCTTTTTCTGTCTTCTTGAATAAAATCAGAAAAGTACATCCAGACAACCTCAAATTTACACTGTTAGAAAGCCCTGTATATCCTCCATAATAATAACTGAAGAATGTCTTCTTATGTCATTCAGGTTTTATATCAAAAATATCCTTGAAAACATACATTTTACAAATGTACACACACACACTTAAGATGTTGGAAGGAAATGCTAAAGAAAGGCAACACCAAGCTAATCTAATCACTAAAATCACAGAAGCAATATTTCATTCATATTTCATTACATATTCAAGAATATGTAATATTCTGCAATAAGCATTTATCACTTATTTTGGGAAACACTTCCCATCTTCATGCCCTTGACAAATACCAGCAGTACAGGCTAGAAACAAAATTCCTAACTTTTGAAACGAAAAGAAACCACAGAGGAACCAAGCCTCACCTTAAATAAGGGTTGGAGAAAGAGAATCGAGAGAAGGAAAGAAAAAAAAAAAAAAAAAAAAAAAAAAGACTACAAGGACTACATTGAACAGGTGTCTGCATAATGACAACATGAGTAGAACTAATAAGCTTAATTTCAGCAAGCTTTGAAGTCAGGTGCAGGCTATTAAGAGAAACAGTGGGTTAGCAATCCTGGGAGCACATCTACTAATAGTATTACACAAATAAGAAGACATTTCTTCATAAATAAGCACCTATTTCTTTGCTACTTGGATGGTCATAACAAGCTAGGAGTTAGAGCTTTCTTTTATCAATAACTCTCCTAAGATAATGCAAAACATATTGGAACTGGACACACTTTACTGTGTTTGTTACATGGCTCTGTGTAGGTGTGTGCACACATGTAAAGCAACTGCTTCTAAATTATGCAAAACATCTACCCATGTTACCTTTCCCCTAACTTGCTTATAATTTAAAATACAGATAATGTAGCTGGAAAAAGACGAAAAACTTCTGCCTACTGGCCAGTATCACATTTCAATAAGTCTGAAATATTCTATGTGTACACTTAGAAATTGTAGTAAAGAACTGGAAAGAGTCAGCCTGTTGCTTGGATCATGAAGCAAGTAGTCTTCTGCTGCTATGAAACCAAGACATATTTCAGCTTCTCATCCTTTCTCCCATTCAGGGACATGATGAGCACGGTGCCATGGACAACCTTCTGACATTGTTGTCTTTTGGGGGCTTACATGTGCTTTTTAACAAGAACAATCTTTTTTAACTTGAGATAAAAAAGGAACATAAAAATGAATGTAACTCCCATTTAAACACAGCTTAAATGTGTTGATACAATATTTGTTTGAATTCTTAAGGGTGCAGGAACAGCAGCCTTCTGACTTCAACAAAACACTGCTGTCACTTCATTGAATCTAACATCATCTTCCATTATTATATCATTTAAATTCTTTTAGACTAAACATAAAGACTGTGCTCTTCAAAACCTAGCATATATGGCATAGCTCGAGATAGTAGATATCTCTATTAAAACCACCTATTCTTCCATGCACCTTTCATTTCACTAGGAATGCTGAAACTTAAAGAACTATGATTACATCAGTTTGTGACCCACTGTTTTTCTGGTTAGAGTTTTTCTTTTAAATCCATAGTAGATACACATTGTCAAGGTCAGGGATATTAAAAGTGATTTGTTAGATGTAAAATACTGTTTATTATAGTCTAAAGAGCAAGCCAGCTTGAAATAATAAATTAGTGCCAGATGAAAAACTGCCAGAATTCTCTATTATACATGCCTTTCCCTGGAAAGGATCCCAGATTTTTTTTCTTGATAGGCTCTTTTACTGAAGACTGCCTGACTTATGGAGTGTGAGCAAAAGTTATAGCTTATAAAAGGGTCAGTGAGGAGCATTAAGGGGCTCTGAAAACAACAACAACAAACAAAACTTGTGTATAAACTGAGCTGTGTCTACAGCCTAAATGCTACAAAGCTGATGAACTGCAAAAAAATGGTAAGAAAAACTTACTGAGTTCACCCATGTAATTGAACTGGGTTGGATACTTGTAGCATCATCAGAAATCTGAAAACTGCACAAAGGAAGAAAGCTCAGTTATTCCTCTCTTCCCCACTGCTCTGCACTGTATAGTTTCACAGACAGCATGCATCTAAAAGAAATAACTTTTCTGAATTACATGTATGCATTTCATCGTTAATGTGAACTGCTGATTTTGGAGGAACATATATTGATACAATGAAAGACCAAAGCACTGCTGATGCCAGTAGGAAGGATGGACTTTGTTGCAAGACTGCTTCTTGACCTAACATAAATGTTGCCAGGTATACTGCAAATTGTTATCTGTAGGTATTCTGAGATGGAAAATTACATACTTGGAATCAATATCCTTTTTTTTTTAACCGTGAGACTAAGGAGAAATGGAAAAGTCAGCCTCTTTCTCTCATCTATGATTACTGATTTCACCACTACATGCTGAGAAAGCAGGGTGGGACCATCGGTCACTGCAAGTCAATGTTAACAGTAGGGGCATAAGGAAGCGCTTAAACCCAAGCAGCTGGCTGTTGCTGGGAACCTGGAAAGAGAAAAGGATGACCAGAAATGTTAATTGTACATGTTGCAAATATCATGTAGTTCCAGGTCTGTTGGACTGCTGCTTCCTCACAGATAAGCCAAAAAGTGCCATCAAAAGCAGTCTGCCAGCAATAAAGCAACAAAGAGGCCCCCACCAGAATGGTCAATGCTGAAAATAAAAGTCATGTTATAAATGTTTACATGATGTAAGTTTGGAGTGTAGAGTCCAATAATTCTCACTGGCTCTTCTCTCTCACTTCCGTTCTTGGCAGCTAGATAACAAGTTCAGCCAAGCAACTTACTTAAAATGTACTGACATGAATCCCCATAGTGTAAATAACATATCTTACCTATGAAGGGTGATTATGTTCCCTTTATTCTTGAAAATAACATCTTCCTAGGCTTTTCACGAAAATCAACTGTTTGCATTCTTCATACAGTTTACAGTATAGTCTATAAACACAATACTGAGTATAGCTGTTAATAACTAGACATTTGAAATGGGCCCAAAACTAAACCATGGAGCTGACACCCCAGAGCACAGAGGAAGTTTGAATCTGAACATTGCATCTCCAGTCTGTCTCTGTGGGAAATGAATTCACAAAGCAATAATAATATCATAAACAGCACTTAACGTGTTAGGGCTGATCCTGCCAACCCGTACTCCTCCAGCACAAAAACTCTTGGCAGTGCTGAAGTCTCACTGAAACTCTCTAAATGGGCCTTATGTGGGATTTAAGAACAATACCTTTGCCAAGGGTGACATTAACCCTTCTTGCCTGTACCACTGAAATCAGTCATCATGCTGGTGTAAGCAATACATGATATACACAAGTAGGTCAGCCTATACATCACCTCTGAAAAAACACCAGCCATCTGATTTTTGTCATCCTGTCTTCTGGGATTTTATTGCTAGTGATTTGTAAATAAGGGCAGATAAATCTCCTGAGCATAGAAGTCATGAAGCACATTTGGGGCACCTTCTGCAACATTATAATTGCTGTCATCTGCTCCACAGAATCAGAACCTTTTTGTTGACACTTTCTGCAGCTGACAGTCCAGCTCAGTCCGGCTGTATGTTTGTCAGGGACTGGCCTGGAGGGTATCGTACAAGCTGAGAAGGA